ATGAATCAATTTTCAGATTCTAAGCTCTAGGAGCTTATTTCAGTCCATACAATGCTTTATGCAACATGTACATCATCCTTTACTGATTCTTTTTTATAAATCTAGAAGGTTGTGACATGTATACCTCTTCTTACAATAGACCATTAAGAAAGGCATATTTCACATCTAAATGAATAAGAGGCTAATTCCTTTTAGCAGCTATTTTAATCATCAGTCTAATTGTCTTATGTGTCGCTACAGGAGCAAACACCTCAAGGTAACCTAACCAAGGTTTCTGTAGAAAACTTATTTCTACTAACGTTGCTTTGTGTTTTCTAATTGGCCCACCAGGATTTAGTTTCACCTTGAAAACCCATCTGACGCTGATGGTTTTCTTGTTCTTTGGAAGCTCAGTCAACTCCAACTCTTATTTCTTTATATAGCCTCAAGTTCTTCTTTCACGGCTTTCACCTAAACTTTCTTCTTGAGCGCTTTTTCTGTACTCACTGGTTCATAGTCTACTAGCATGACACACTGAATGACTTCCCCTTTAGAATTTATTTCAGTATCTTGCATCATGTTAAAATCTGCAAATCTTCTTGGAATATTTTTGATTCTTTGTGGCCTTTGAACATGTTAAGAATTTTCTTCGGACACTGGAACACTATCAGATGCTAGAACCTTTGAAGTACCACCTTCAGAGTCTGGATCTCCACTAGAGTCTTATTCCCCATCAGAATCTAGATTAGAATCAGATTCAACTTCATATCCAGACTCGCCTTTAGAATCTAACTCACTTTTAGAGTCTTATTTAGCTTCAGAGTCATGTTCAGACTCTGGCTCATCTTTAGAGGCCGAGTCTCCTTCAGATTCAGAAATACCTTCAGAAGTTAAATCTGCACTAGAGTTGAATTTAGGCTTGTTCCAACCCCACACTTCTGACTCTTTCACAACTACATCTCTGCTAAATTCAACCTTGTTAGTGACTGGACAATAGAGCTTATAAGCACTTATGCTATGGTACCCTACAAGCATATAACTTTGCTTTTGTCATCCAACTTCCTTCTTTTAGCATCTGGAACATGTTTATAACAAACAGAACCAAACACCTTCATATGGATCATAATTTGCTTATCTCTAGTCCACTTCTCTAAAGTAACAATTTCCTTTAGCTTCTTGGCTGGAAACATGTTGAGCACATATGTTGCAGTGGCAATAGCTTCCCCTCACAACGTGTGTGAAAGCATTTTCTCCTTCAGCATGCTTCTTGTCATATCAATCAAAGTTCAGTTTCTTCTTACAATAAGACCATTGTGTTGAGGAGTGCATGTAGCAGTAACCTTGTGCTCAATTCCTTTCTCCTAACAGAAATTCTCGAACTCTGTAGAGTTGTACTCACCTCTACCATCAGTTTTGAGAATTTTCAGCTTCTGACCACTCTGTTTTTTAGCCTTCACTCTGAATTTCTTAAGTTCAGCAAACACCTAGTGTTTAAACTTTATAAGGGATACTCACGTCATCCTTGTGAACTCATCCAAAAATGACACAAAGTATTTATTCCCTTCAAGTGAAGGTACTGAAAATGGTCCACACACACCATAATGCACCACACCTAAAGCATGCTTTTCTCTTGGAGGCATTTCAGATACAAATGACAGACTTGGTTGCTTCTTTCTCATGCACACATTGCATGACTTCTTTGGCTTCTTAATTGTAGGAATTCCTTGTACCAACTTTTTCGAATTCAAATTCTCTAAGCTTCTGAAGTTCAAATGACAAAATTTTTTGTGCCACAACTCACTTTCCTTCACAACACTTGTTGCACTAAGGCATCAAGAGTCTACAGTTTTAACATTCACTTTGAATGTTCTATTTCTTCCCTGTTTTGACTTCATAATAAGCTTTTGATTACAGTGATACAACTTCAAAAGATTGTCCTTCATGGTAACTGAAAACCATTTCTCAATTAATTAACCTACACTCATCATATTGCTTTTTATGCCAGGAAAATATCATACATTCTAAATCAATACAGTTTTATCATTATTCATAACTATTATGAGATTTCCCATACCTCCAACATTGAGGTATTTATCATCAACACATTTGATTCTTGTCCTCTTTCTAGAGTCAAAATCAACTAGCCATTTCTTACTTTTAATAAGGTGATTTGAACAGCCAGTGTCCATATACCATCAGTCTACCAGATACGTATCATCAGATTCAAGAGCCATCAATAGCAAGAATTCATCATTCAAAATCTCCCCTTACTATGTTTGCTTATCCTGACTTCCCTTTCTTGTTTGACCAACAATCAACAACGAAATGGCCAAACTTCTTACAAAAGTAGCACTGAACCTTCCTCTTGTCATACTTATTCTTCCCCTTCTGAGCACTCTTCTGCCTTTCAGAAGTTGAGCTTTGTGACTTCTTAACACCATCAGATTTCTTCCTGGCTTCTGACCAAGACTGTTTCTGATATTTCTTACCAAAAGAGGCTTTCAGAGCCTGCTGTTCTACCTCCATTTCAGAGTTTCTCTCAGTCAGACGCAACTCTTGTGCCTCAAGACTACTTTGCAGCTCTTCAATTCTCATGGTGTTAACATCCTTAGAATATTCAATTTCTACAACAATGTAATCAAACTAGGGAGTAAGAGATCTAAGTACCTTCTCAATGATATTTTTTCCAGAGAGAGTTTCTCCACACAACTTCATCTCATTTTTTATCAGAATTACTTTAGAGATATAATCAGGTACCTTCTCATTGTTCTTCATGCTAAGATTCTCATATTGCTTACGTAGAGACTGAAGTTTCACCTTCTTCACTAATGCAGCATCGCCGTAACACCGTACCAGTGTGTCCCACACAACCTTCACCGTCGTCGAATCAACGATCTTCTCAAACACGTTCGCATCCACACACTGATGGATGTAGAACAACACCTTCTGATTATCTTCCTCATATCACACTGAGCATTCCTCTGCGCATCCTTGCATTTTCCAGAAGTGTAACCGGAACGTAACTGTTGTTGATGAGATCAAGAACATCTTAAGCACCAAACAACATACGCATCTGAATCATCCATCGTTTCCAGTTCTTGCCATCGAACACTGGAAGCTTAGTACTCAGATTACCGTTTTCGTACATCTTCAACCTTGTGCAGTTCACTCAGATCGCACCAAACACTAGTGTTTCCCAATTCCACAGGATCAAGAAATGTGATTCTGTTACGATTCTAATAAAAAATTCAACACGAATTCAAGAAACGAAATCAATCACACAACACATCACCGTTCACTCGTGTTTTCCTGTAGATCTGAACCGGAGCTCTAGATATCAATTGTTGGTGCACAAGATGAAGAAGATGAACGACGGAAAAAGGGAGAGAAGAGAAAGAATAACAAACTTCCATGACTCTTGCGATTACAGTGAATGGTTACTCCACTACTCGCTACTAACAACTACATTTTTTATATACACAAACAATAATGCCACGTAGACAAAATACTAATCTACATTAATTAAGTTAAACTTAACAAAATTAATACTACTATTAAATATAGATTACTTCTAATAAATCCATCACCCCTTTTACTTCTTGACAAAATTTAGAATTTACATCGAAATTCTTAGAGCGAAAACAATCTTTCCTTTTGCCCCTTTTACTTCTTGACAAAATTTAGAATTTACATCAAAATTCTCCTTTTACTTTTTGACAAAATTTAGAATTTACATCAAAATTCTTAGAGCGAAAACAATCTTTTCTTTTGTCATTAAATACTAGAATTAATGTTGAAGAAAAGAGAACACTTAAGAAATCAATCAAAACCTCCTACTCGAATAACTGGTCTTCTTCCCCCTTTTTACCTAGGTACAACAAACAATCATTTTTTCCTTTAATCTTTCCTAGATGTTATTTCCATATTTTAAGCTCCTTTTTACTACCTTTATTTTCTCTTTTAAAACATAAGTGTCCCACACACATCAAATAATTGTCATTGCTCTTTAACAAACTTTTTGCAACCTGAAAAATCAACCCAACATTAAACATTTGAAAACGTTTTAGACTTCAATTTTTTCATCCACAGATAAAAGAAAATTAACAATGATTGGACATCCCACAAAATAAACCAATCTTCACCTATATAAAATATAATTATAGAGTCTCTCCAAATGTAAAGTAACCCTTTACATTGTATTCAAATTCGTACCTTCTATGGAGAATTCTTACAAGATAATAAAAGCAACAATTTAAAATGTTCATTAATCATAGTCAGTTCCAAAACTAGAACATGGATATCAGTTACTATAATTTAACATACTAACTAATATTATATTTTTAAAATATTTCTCTAAATCTTAAAGTGTTGGACACTAAAATTTATGTGATTCAATTTTTTATATATTTTATAATAATAATAATGTGTGTGGACTTTTCTTCTAAAACCAAAACAAGTTTTGAAATTGTTTCATTCACTCATGCACTTTCTACTTTCTCGGAATCTTCCTATCACAAAATGACAGTGATTCGAGCAAATCATGCAAAGGTGACACATTATAGCCACAGCTTTTTAGCAGTAAAAACAAAATACTAACATGACATTTCAACTGATAATAACTGTTCCTTAGTTTGTTACTATAATGGAAAATACTACTTTAATGGACACACACAGTTTAGGTTTTAGACACACATAAAAATACATGTAATTTAATTATTTAGAAATTATGTATCATATGTTTCTTTTTTCCTTTCTAACTAAACTAGATTGATACATGTCACTATAGAACAAATAATGCTGCTACACACTAGTAATACCAACAGCTGTGGTTTTTTGTCGTGAAATCGAACATACCACAAAATTATTCATTTGAAAAGTCTAACTTTGTTCTATTTTTTACTTAAAAGCAACTCAAATTTGATTGGTTCACTTAACTAAAATATCCAATATTATCCTTCATCATTGCTATTATAAGAGAAGGCAACAATTGTTTAGTTTTTGTGTACTCAGTGAAAGCTTACATGGCTTCTTACTACTTCCTCTTGTTTGTTCTTGTTACTGCTTTTGCACTTTCTGAAGCAGATGACAATGAGTTATGCACAGATTTCTATTGCGACAGTTGCCCAAATCTGTTGTCTATAGTAAATCAAGGAGTCATAAAAGCCATTCGTAATGAAGCTCGCATAGGAGCTTCGTTACTTCGATTGCATTTCCATGACTGCTTTGTAAACGTGAGTATATACTACTATGTGTATACACATTAACTTGATTTTAGTTGTCTGATTCAATTTATTTGGCTTCTTTTAATATAATGATTATTCAGGGCTGTGATGGATCGATATTGTTGGATGATACAAACAGTTTCATAGGGGAAAAAACAGCAGCAGCCAACAATAATTCAGCTAGAGGATTCAATGTAATTGATGACATTAAAGCAAGTGTAGAGAAAGCATGTCCAAGTACGGTGTCTTGCGCTGATATTCTTGCTCTGGCTGCTCGAGACTCTGTTGTTAATGTAATATCATATACTTCAATAGCATAATGAATCAATGATAGAATACTATAATTGGCTTAATTAATGAGATTTAGTTAATCTATTCATGGATAAATGATTGTTGAAATTTACAGCTAGGAGGCCCTTCTTGGGAAGTAGGTTTGGGAAGAAGGGATTCAATCACAGCTAGTAGGGCTGATGCCAATAGGTCTATTCCTGGACCATTTCTCAATCTTGACAAACTCAAAGCAAATTTTGCTAACCAAGGACTCTCAGAAAAGGACTTGGTAGCTCTTTCAGGTACTATGAATGACAAATGTTCAATATAGTATATAGTATATACTCCTATATTTCAATTCATTTGAACTAATATCTTTAATAACAGGCGCACATACAATTGGGCTAGCCAGATGTTTGCTGTTTCGAGCACACATCTACAATGATTCCAACATTGATCCTTCATTTGCCAAGTCACTGCAGAGCAAGTGTCCCAGAACTGGAAATGACAATGTTCACCAACCATTCGACTTTCAAACTCCGACTCACTTCGATAACCTATACTACAAGCATTTACTTGCTAAAAAGGGTCTTGTCCATTCTGACCAAGAATTGTTCAATGGGAATCCCACTACTGATAAACTGGTGCAGAAATATGCTAATGATAATGAAGAATTTTTCGAAGCCTTTGCCGAGGGTATGGTCAAAATGAGTAATCTAAACCCCCTCACAGGAAACAAAGGACAGATCAGAATCAATTGCAGAAAAAACAACTGAAAATGAATGAGCAATATGTGTATGTGAGAGAGTGAGTGGGTAATAATTACCCATCTATATTTCCAAAATTATACCGAATAAAAATCTCTTGTCATTAGGCAAGTTATCATATAAGGAATCATAAATGCAAATTCATTGCAATGTTTGAACCAGGGTTTTTAAATTACGGCCGCGTAAAGACTTTCGTGATTTCGGTTGATACAGCGTTGCGACACTGATTGCAGTTGTCATGGCGTGAATTAACCACAATTTATTCTTGAACATAAAAAACAGTGATAAATGAGTATCTGCATTTTCCAATACCATTTTGTCGGGGCCGTTTTGGTGTGACTTGGTTTGAATTGTAAGATAAGAATATTCTCAAAGCATCCAATTGCAAATTTCTCTTATATGAAACAAGATAGAGTTTCTAAGATCCCAATTTACCAACTAGAGCAATTTGCTAGTGTTAAACAACATTTCCCTAAACCTATTAAGAAATTCAGAATTTGGAAAACTATATATATCAACATCAACAATTAACTACACTTATGTATCAGCTTCAAGCACTCAAATACTACATCACTCATCAATATATTCTTCAACCTCCTCTTCTTCGAGTTCATATTCATCGATCTGTTTAAAATACGCCTTCTGTTTCTCAATGTAATCTTCCAGATCCTCTTGTTCACGGGACACAACAACAACACGTTGCTTCTGAAAATAGATTAAGTAAAATGTAAATAAAAGGTACTATAGTGAAAAATCCATTATAACATATTGAATTTAGGAAAATCAAGATCATACACTTTGTCATTACAAGAAAATCAAAATCAAACGGAATATACCTTTTTACATGGAACTGTTAACGTCATAGGAAGTGCTACAGTGTTGTTTTGATTCTGAAAACAAATTAAGCGAATTCAATCAAAAACAAATTTGAATTGGGGAAAGATGAGATGATTGTACCTTTGTGCGATGAACGGTTGATGGCTTAACATCATGAAGCGGAGTTAAACAGGTTTTCCTGAGGAATAATTAAAAACGAAGATGAGAGAAAAAAGTGATTATGATTGTTGATTATGCAACAATGTGAAAGAGAGGGATGGATCGATGAGGAGGATTAATAAGTACCGAATGTTGATTTGATTGTTCTTGATTGGTGGTTCAATGGTGGCGGATGAAGAAACGGATGAAGATGAAAAATGGCTTGAATTTGTGAGATCTGAAAGAGCGCTTCGTTTTCCATTCTTCATTTGCTTTGTTTGTTGTAACAACACTTTTGCTCACTCGCTCAGTCACACTTGCCATGCTTTGCTTAGCGTTTTGTTTTATTAAACTTTTTTTGGCGGGAAATTTCAGTTAGTTGAGAACGAAGCTACTAAACGCGGTGGTGTTATACTTGTGAGTTGCGGGAGCGGCGTGAAATGGAACTGATCTTAAGATGGTTATTTTGGGTATTGAACGTTAGAGGAACATATTATGGTTATTTTGTTATTAAGAGTGGGAAGTATTTCTCTTTATTAATCTAGTGGGCCCAAAAGACTTAGTTGAGATATTTTAAGCGGAAAGGTTAAACATTTTAATTGATTGTGCCATTGTGGTGGAATATCACAAGAAATAATTGTTGGTTGCCTAATAGGGAAAGGAAGTGTTATCATAAGATTTTGCAACATTTTTTAAGCATGCAAAACAGGAAAAAGGTAGAAAAAGAATTCTCCTCAATTATAATCTCTTTAGTTCTTATTATAACAGCAACAAAAAGATTCCTTTTAAATACATTGCTTAATTGATTAATGTATCTCAATTATAAATGAATCAAATGTATTAATTACTCAATATAGTTAAAAATAATAAATAAATAAAATAATAAAAAAAACATATAATTTAAAAAAAAATATTTTTTTAATATTAAGGATTTAAGGAAGGATGTATTTTTATGTTGAAATATTTTTTATTTATAATTGATATTTTTAAATATTTTTCAATTTGATGTTGTTTTGAGTCCTTCCTTAGATCGACGATGAAAGATTCAGAAAAAATATCACATAGAAAGACGCGCAAAACAATTAGGACCTCATCCTAGTAAAAGAAACGTGATTCTAACCTCTAGCGTATTGTCACGGTTAGAATGAACGTCTACTTTTCACGAATTTTTTTGATTAGTTAAGATCCCAAAGTCACAAATCATAACCGCAATTTCACTCAAAAGAAGATGATGATGTTTGATCCAACTAATGAGCTCACCATTGATCTATCAACTCCAAGATCATCTTCTACCTTTTCATCTCTCCAGTTGATGGTGGATCGCTGGACAAGAGAGATGGGAATGAGAAGCATCCAGCGCGAAATTCTTCAAGATCGTCGATGGTAACTAGGAGGCAGGAGGGATACAAACTTGTTCTAGGGTTTCAAGACTGCGATAAATTGAATGGTTTTCCTAATCCAATGCGTCCACCAGTTAAAACTACTAGTGTAGCGAATTACTCAGTGCTAGGGGTCCTTATCGATGATGTGAGTTCTTGCAATGTTATATAGTACAATTGTGTCTTCAGAAGGTTAGGGTTACATAAGCAAGATCTCACGACATATAAAGGAGATGATCTCTTAACTTTCAATGACTCTTCTACTTATCCATATAGGGCCATGGAATCACCTGTTTCTGTCAAAGAAGGAAATAGCAGGAGAATCATGAACAAGTATGGAGACCATTCCTCTTGGCGCTAGATGAAGTGGCATCCATACTCTATGTGAAGATGAAATATCACAACAATTTTGGTGAACCAGTTGCCATTTCGACTTATTTACACGAAGGTTGCCCCCTATATGAGCTGACTTACCACCTGTGGTGAGGAATTACTCATTGAGTGCCTTACTAATAATGTTAACCTCTTTGCAGTTCCCCCGACGAGATGTTGGCATATACCCTAACGTGGCTTGCCACCAATTGAATATTGATCCCTCCTCTAGTTATGCAGTCCAATGAAAAATATTGAAATACCTTGAGAAATCTAAAGCAACCTGTCGCTACTGCGAAAATCGGCGCCGGCTGACAGAAGAGTCGCCACCGTGCGTTATTTATCCCTCAGAGCGGGAAAGGAAACGCTCGAAGTAAACCTCGCAAAAAACGGGGAAAAGGTATGGTCATCGCAACCATAGCCTGGGTTCGGGAGTCGGTTACGCAAGGGGAAGGTATTAGCACCCCTCACGTCCGTCGTACTCGACGGGATCCACGCTTGCTTGGGTTGTCTACTGGATGCAAAACAATCTTATCTACGGCTACTAAATCTAAACGGAAGGGAATTGACTCGATAGAGCGTCGCACTCTATGCCTACGTATTCTCAAGAGAGAAAGTCAGAGTCAACGTAGTTCGGGACTACGGGGAAAATTGGCTCGCCAAGACCTCGCGTCTTGTGCCTACGTACTTCTACTGGATGGAAGATCAGAGCCTTGCGTAGTTCAGACTAACTACAGCTAAACAAACATTCTCACACAGCAGTGAGAAAAACAACTGGCTTCACAGGGTCGGGAACCTATGGTCACAACTATGGCTGAGTCTCAAATGCACTGGGGCAAGAGAGAAGAAGGGGTATCAATTAATCGTCAGCGGGAAAGTCTCGATCGCACAGCCGCGAGAGAACAAAAGTTAGTCGTTAGTGTGCTCGCTAGGATATCGCATCCTATGCCTACATATCTTCGTCTGGTACGAAGAATCAGAGCAGCTGTAGTTCGGCTACTATCGGACCACAGCTCAAATCTCGTTTTATTCATCTCTGAAAAATGATTACAATGGGTATACTGAAATAAATCTCCTAGGAAACGCTATCCTATTCTATCTTGAAAAATCGACTGAAAATAGCCCCCTAACAAATGGGCCTCTAATTCTATCCCTAAAAGTCGAAACAATAAAGTCTATGAAAAATGTCCCTAAAAGAAAATGAACTTTAAAAATATTAAATCGGCACTTTAATATTTTTTCTTTTTTTCTCCTTTTCTTTTCAATATATTTTTTCTTTTTTCTTCAAATATTTTATTTTATTTTTCACCATATTTTTCACAATATTTTCTTCCCATATTTCTTTTTTCAAATATATTTTTTTCTATTTTTCTATTTTTTCTCTTTATTTCTTTTCTTCTCTATTTTTTCTTTCTTTCAAACATATTTCTTCTTTTCTTTTTTCTTCTTTCTTTTTTTTTCAAATACATTTTTCAAATCTTTAAAAAGAAATAAAAAAAATACAAGAAAATGGGGCTGGGGGATGTACACTGTTATACAGGGGTTATATGCAGAAAAAATAAAAACAACTAAACTGGGCCCAGCCCAAGACTCAAAAAACGCAGCAGGGGGGTATGCTTGTGAAGTCTGGGTGTGTACTGGCAAGTAATGTTGGGCTCAGGCCCACGTTTGTCCAAAAACGGGGGGGGGGGGGGGGGGGCGAGTGTGCCAAAAAAATTGAACTGGGCCTGAGGCCCATTCTCCTTTCTCCTTTCTCAGGGTCTGAAAACCCTAGAACTTTCTCCTTCTTCTCCCTTTGCAGCGCCGTCGCCATGGACTTTTCTCAACCGTTCTCAGCCTCTGTTCACCGTCCCTCACCATCGTCCTCTGATCTTCCCTTGTCATTCTCCTAAACACCACCATCTTGATTCATCTTCCTCAGACAAACATCAACTTCCTAAAAAGGCTCAAATGCTTGGAGTTCTTCGCGTGAGGGTGGTCTTGATCTGAGAACAAATACTGTTGATGAGTTCTGGAGAGACGAAGACGCACATTGACGAAGGTTTCTGAAGCTGATTCTTGATTGTTGATGGATTCTGGAAAACAAGACGATGAGGATGTGAAGATCTGGATCTTGAAAATCCTTGATGGACGATGAACATGATGAACGTGATGTTGGATGGTCTTGAAAAAGCAGTTACTGATGGATTTTGGATGGAGATCCAACGAATTCAGATGAACATTCTGGAGGTTTTTTCTGGAGAATCTGGACATGTCAATCAGTTGAATCTTGAAGAAATTTCTGAAAACTTGGTGAGTTCTGTTGATGATTGTTGCGCGTTCTTGGAGTGATGATTCTGAAGAAAACGATTGATGAAGTTCCTGGGAATATCATGAGGATTGACGAACAGTTTGGTTGAAGACGATGAATCTTCATCGTTCTGGGTTCTTTCTGAGTTTTTTTTAGGGTTGATGATGATTCTGGAGACTCGATGGTTGAGAACGACGAAGATCAAGGGTTGAAGGTGGTTTCTGGGCGTTTTTTCTGGGTTTGATGGTGGAGATCTGGTGGCGGTTGATGGTAGAGACGCGGGGAAGAAGATGAAGGAAGGAAGAAGATGAAGGGAGGAAGATTGATGACCGGATTCTGGGATTGGAGTTCGCCGGTGAGGATTGCACGGTGGCCGGAGTACATGCACGGCGGTTGGGGCTCTCTTCCGGTGAAGGTTCTGGTGAAGCATGTGGAGGCGCCACGTGGTGGAGAAAGTGGAGGGGCTCTCCGCATGCCCTCCACGTGGCCTGAAAGGTGGCTGAGAGAGAGGAGGTTGAGGTGGATACGTGGCGTGTGGAAGTGAAGAAATGTGGGGCCTCCCCCCTCAAACACGTGGCTGCGCTGGGTATTTAAGCTGATGAATTCGCTGGCGCTTTCCAGAACCTTCTGGAGAAGACTGGAATATGCTGGACGTTTTGGACTCTTTGCTGGACAAAAACTGATTTTGAATTGGGCTTTCTGCTATACTGGGCCCAACGAACTAACCTTAAAAAAACTGCATTACTCTAATTAAACCCTAATCAAACACTAAATCCAATTAACCCCTAATTAATAAAATCCTAATAAAAAATCTCTAATAAATTCTAAAAATCTAATATTCTATAAAAGAAAATAAAACCTATTTATTTTTAATAAGGAAAAATCTATTCATTTATTATTATTATTTCTATTTAAATTCTATTTAAAAATTATACTAATATTCTAAAAAATCCTATATTATCTAAAAATATTAAAATCTATAAAAGATTTCTACAAAATGATTTAAAATCTATTTAAAGGAATTAAAAACCTATTAAATTCTAAAAATGAATTTAAAATCTATTATATTCTATAAAATGCTAAAAATTGATTTAAAAGAATTAAAATATATCAAAAATTCTATTAAATCCTAAAAAATGATTTAAAAGCTAATTAAACCCTAAAAAATCCTATAAAAATCCAGAAAAATCACGATAATTCCCAGAGGGACAAAATGAACACCGAACGA